ATATCTTTAAAAAGTTGTGAATTCCATTAAATATGTAGTTAAAATTAATTAATGACTTTAACTTTGATAAAAATCTAAATTTTAATACCTACTAAACATGGGCTTAATTTTAATTCCTCTTCATTTACATAAGTTCATATTCTATAGGAATTAGAAGGAAAAACGTAGGAAATAGGAATAATTCCACTCAATCAAAAGTCCCTTTAATTATCAAAATAATTTAATGTAATTTCCTGTAATAGCGAAATATAAAGAAAACTAGCACTCTTATCAAAGAAAAAGAAAAGAAAAGAAAACTAGCACTCATTACCTTTTCCATCTAAAAGTTGACATTCCCCTTTCAATTATGATCCATAAACCTTGAGACATATCCATTATGATAACTTTTTATATCTTCTTCCATTTTTCAAAAAGGATTGACGGGTGTTTGATAAATATTATTGAGAAAATAATATATTTTAAATAATGATATGATGGAAAATATGTGGTTAAAAAGTAAGGAAAAGTAATTAATATGGTGAAAAATGTGTTGTCGAAAACTAGTTTTAAAATAATGTATTTTGAAAGAATGTGTGTCAAACAGGAGTTGAGATTGCTTCAAATTATCCCATCCCAACCAAAGCGAAAATTGTAGAAAGTAATGAAAAAGTAAAGTAACATGACTCTTTTGTAAAGTCACTTTGCCCGAATTTGGTGTCGCCTCGGTTGACCAACCTTCACATTGCACCTTGGGTCCCGCGTGAATTAAATAATGCCTACCCTCTCATGTGTGTGTGTTCGGTCAACCAAAGTGTCATCCAAGATATTCATGTAGCATTCAAGATCAAATGAATATGAAGAAAACACAAAGTTATGTTGATGATTGATTTTAATGATTTTCTGAATTATCACTGTTTTTATGGATTTTCCATGTTTTTGAAATATAAATATAATAGAAAATATAACATAAATGTTTTAACGCCGAACCTTGTCTTTGATCATTTCTGACTTTTTGAACCCAACTAATGTAAATGATTTTATTTAATTCATAAATCCTAATTTTTAGCAAATAAAATGAAAGTACCTTCTTTTTTTTTTTGGATAACAAATGAAATACTTAAAATAATTGAAAAATATTAGTCTTTAAATAGTCAAAGTGATACAATAATGTTACTTAAAAGTCTCAAGAGACAACATAAAGAGGATATTTAAAAAAAAAAAAAAATGAACTGTCTTTAAAAAAAATTCGAATATTATAAAAAATATATAGAGATCAAAATAAAATATGAAAAAAATTAAAAAATTTATAGCTCTCAACTCGGCGATAAATAAAAATGCCAAGGCATGGAAAATAAAAATAACCCAAAAGGAGAACCAAATGAAGTGACCAGATACATAGAGTTATACATCTCTACAAACTTTTATTGCACTTGATAGCAAGTTCCTCCACCTAGCTTTTATGAATTTGATAAATTGAAATTGATTGTAAAGTTATCAAGGTCAGCAATACATATGACTACACCTCTCTATCAACATTTACTATCTTTCTTGGTGAGCAAAGGATTGTAGTCCGCGCCTTTATAGAAATCGAGTTTTGTACATTATCTTAACTAGTTGATTCGTAACTTGTTTCCAAAATTAGACATGTCTCTTGGGCTCCTTAGAACTGCACTATGAGTACAGAGAAAATCAACAGAAAATATACTTGGAAGGTTTTCATTGGAAGAAGGAAAAAAAACAAGCGAATAGGGTGTTGACGTGTTCAAATTCTATAGAAAAACCTTGTACATGCAGCTTTATTGGAGTCCTAAGCCACAATGTGACATTCTTGGTGCAACATATTCGTTCGTCAATAATGCTATAGCTTTCCCTCATTAATCACCTTGCTCTTGGCACCATGTTACAATTCAATGGCAAAAATAAATAATATATCGAGGGTTAAAAATAAATAATATGTTATCTTTAAGAGTAAGTTGTATTGTACTTCAAAATAAATAATTTTCTTTTAATTGTAAATAAGAAGGTAGTCCATTCAAACATGTTTAAAAAAAATTACTTATAAGTAAATTTGACTTTTAAGCTAATATAAACATGCTCTTACACAAGCTCACAACAGTTGAACCAAAAAAAAAAAACAACCAAAACAAAACAAAATCTCTTTTAGACAATAAAGTTGTAGAACCCTGCTACAATTACAGGGAAAAACTTCACAGAATTTTCCCAGGCAAGACACAAGCGTGTTGGGGTCCACTTTTTTAAATAATTTTTAATTCATGTGGGACTCACACACCATGTGAGTATCTGTAAGAATTCTGGTAGTAAATAGTTCTATACACGGAGGATAATTCAAAATTGTAGCCCTTGGAACATGGGACAGGGACATTTATTAGAGACCACACAATTTTGAAGGGTATGGTCTAATTCTAGGTACATAATCCACATTTAAAAAAAAAAAAAAAAAAGGCCTCTAACGTATTAATAACGAAAATAAATTCTAATTTATTAGAGGACTAATCCAGCATAATGATTTGTGATTTAGTCAAATAAGTCAATTACATAATTTGCAATGAAATCGGAACCAAAAAGATAACGACATTCAATTATAAATTTATAATCAGTTTCAGATACTGTGAATTGACAAATTAATGAAAATTTAAGAAAATTGGGAATAATTCTCCACTTGAAAATAAACCATATACAAATCCATCCAAGAATTACCCAAATCAAGACCAAAAATTTTAAAAAAAAGTTAGACCCAAAAAAAAAAATGCAACTAAAAATTCACTGGACCCGGGGTCACTGGGCTAGGAGGACTGACTGCTGGTGGTGGCACTACTGATGGCGGAGGCGGCGGCAAAGATACTGCTGGCGGCGGCGGCAAAGACACTGCTGGCGGCGGTGGTGGAGGAAGTGGAGGAGGAGGAGATACAGATGGATTAGGAACATTTTGGCCAGGACTGTCACTGGGTGGTGGTGGTGGTGGTGGTGGTGGTGGAGGAGATATGGGATTAGGAACATTTGGGCTAGGATTATCACCTGGTGGCTGCGGCGGCGGTGGTGGAACGAAGATTACTGGGGCGGTGTATTGTAGACAAGATTCATCTGTACATTTTTGGGTCTTGTGATGAATTGCATGCTTGAGTAACCCAAATCCCAAGACAAGACCAGTCACTACCACCACTGTCACAATGAAGATGAAGATCTTGGTTGCCTTGCCCACATAGCACATCATTTTTTTTTCTAACTTTTTTTGTTTTTTTTTTTTTTTCTCTGGCTTAGAATTGATGAAATGAATCAGATAATACTTTTTGATGGGGTGGGTGGGTTTTTACTCTCTTTGCACTATGTTGGTTTTTTTCCTCCTTTCTTTGATTTCTTGTCATTTTTATTTTTGGGGTGCTAAGGACAATGAGGGACTGTGAGTTTTGCACTTGGACTTTTGGATTTTGGGAGGGGGTTGGGGGGGTGGGGGTGGGGGTGGGGTTAGCAGTTGGGGAAGTAAATAGGGTAAATTTCATTAAATTTTAATTTGTCATTTTGGTTATTAAGCTTCAATTTAATTTCAAGTTTTACCACTCTTTATCACATTTCGTAAGAAATTACCTACAAAGTCGATGGAAATTATTTAGTTATATCGTAACTAATCTTTCACGTAATTGTTTCTAGAAATCCTAGAAACGCAAATGGTATAATGGGAATTATGGTAATGGCCTTATACTAAAAGATTAAAACGTACATTTTTTAACAATGTGACGTGGTGTAGTGGTAAGTTGGCATGTCACATAATGACTGTGTAAAATATTTGTAACTTTTATTAGTTTAGTTAAGTAATTTTCATCAATTTAGGAACAACATGTGACAAAGTGGTGAAACGTGACATTTAATTAGTTACAAAATTAAAACTAAACTGAAATTTAATGAGATTCAATTGAGATAAATTAAAGTTCAGTGATCTAATTGAAATTTCATTAAAAGTTCGGTGACTGTAAATGAAATTTTCCGGGGGCTGTCAGTTTGCTCTTGGATTTTGATATTTCTAGGGTGGAATGTGAGGTAGTTGGGGAAGTAAATAGCTGAGTCGCGTGAAGCCAAGTAAAGGGAAAAAATAATAATAATAAATGACAGGTATTTGTCTGCTTAATTGTTGTTCATTCAATTACGTGTGACGCGTGAAAATTCGTGTAATTAATTATTTAAAATCGATGCATAAAATGTTGTCATTTTACAACAATATCAAATTTGACGTACATGTAGCGAGTTTATTACTCATTAGCCGCCAGGGAAATTTAATTTAATTTTAGGAATATGTACTTTGCAGAGGAGACTTTTGACTAAATTTGAATTGCATGTGATGAGTTGAAATGGCAACCTTTTCTCCTTTTCTTTCTTTTTATTGGTTTAATAATGTTAATTATTATTGAAGCTAATTTCTTACTAGTAAATTAAATTTCTAACGATTAATCATTCGTAAGAAAAATATTAAATATTGTATTGCACAATTAAGTATCAATGTATCACCAAACTAGATTATTTATTACATCAATCAACAAAAGTGGAGAGTTAAAAATTAAAGATTAAGTCATTATTTGATAGAAATTAAAATCAGATTTTTTGTAGATTTAAATAAAAGATGATTAAATATATGATTGAAAAATTGTAGGTTCCACAAAAATATACAGTTAATATTAGTTGTTGACTTTAAATTAAATTAAAACATGAATAACACAAATCGTATTGATTTAGTTTTGGTATGATTTTTGACTCAAATCGTATGATATAGTCATTGTTTGGGTTGGATTAAAATTCAATTAAAATTTTAAGTAA